GGCAGCCACAGCTGTCCCCAGAGGGGTGGGGACAGAGCTCCTGAGCCAGAGTCTGTCCTGTGGAGAAAGGGGGGACACAAGGGTGACAAGGCCCCATGGCCCCTGCATGATCCCTCCAGGTCCAACCCTCAGTGTCCTCCCGTGTCCCACTGTCCCCCCAGGTCCTCCTCTTGTCCTCCCCATCCCTCTCCATACTCTTGTCCCCCCATGTTCCCCCCAAGTCTCCCTGTTCCCATGTCCCCCCATGTCCTCCTCTTGTTCCCCTCATCCCTACTCCCCCCTGTCCCTATGTCTCCCATGTCCTCCCCCATGTCCCCCAGTGTCCCCATTCCCACATCCCTCCAGGTCCCTTCAGGTCCCTGCAGATCCCCATGTCCTCCCATTATCCCCCCATGTCCCCCTGTGCCCCTATCCCCACATCCTTCCAGGTCCCTCCAGGTCCCTCCATGTCCCCATGTCCTCCCATTGTTCCCCCCTGCCCCCACGTTCCCTCGTGTCCCCATGTCCTCCCCTTGTCTCCATCATCCCCTTTTACCTCCCCCCATGTCCCCTTTTGTACCCCCATGTCCCAGTGTCCCTGAGTCCCCCCCACACCCCCGGTACCAGTGCCAGCCTGGGGTCCCTGGCTGTCCCCGCACTGTCCCTGCAGCGCCCGCACTTGTCGCTCCAGCTCCCGCAGCCGCCGCAGGACGGTGACCAGTGTCATGGGCCCACAGGCCAGGGGGCCGGGGGGGGACGCAGGGGGGGTCCCCAGCCCCCCCCGCAGTACCAGTGCCAGCAGCAGCAAGGGCAGCCCCGGGGACATGGTCCTGTGGGGACAGATAGAACCTGTGGGGAACACAGAGACACCCCCAGGGGACACAGGGACATCATGGGGGACACACGGACACCCATGGGGACATCCAGTGGACACAAGAACATCATAGGTGGGACACAGAGGGGACATGGGGACACCCAGGGGGACAGAGGGACATCACAATGGACACCTGGACACCCACGGGAAACAAGCAGGGGACAAAAGGACATCCACAGGGGGCTCTCAGGGGACACAGGAACACCCGTGGGGACACCAGGGGACACAGGGACATCACAGGGGACACCTGGGCACACCTGGACATCCACGGGGACAGCCAGAGGGGACATCAGAGACACAGGGACATCACAGGTGGGACACAGAGGGGACACAGGAACACCCCCAGGGGACACCCACCCACACCCCTGGGTGGCCCTGGCACCAGTGTGCCCAGTAAACTGTCAGTTACCTCTCAGTAGCCCACCAGTAACCTCCCAGTAACCCTCTAGTAGTCCCCCAGTAACTCCCCAGTAGCCCCACAAGTAATCTCCCAGTAACCTCCCAGTAGCCCTCCAGTAGCTCCCAGTAGCCCCCAAAGTAATCCCCCAGAAACCTCCCAATAGCCACCAGCAGTTCACCAGTAACCTCCCAGTAGCCCTCCAGTAGCTCCCAGTAGCCCCCAAAGTAATCCCCCAGAAACCTCCCAGTAGACACCAGCAGTTCACCAGTAACCTCCCAGTAGCCACCAGCAGTTGACCAGTAAGCTCCCAGTAGCCCTCCAGTAGCTCCCAGTAGCCCCCAAAGTAATCCCCCAGAAACCTCCCAGTAGACACCAGCAGTTCACCAGTAACCTCCCAGTAGCCACCAGCAGTTGACCAGTAACCTCCCAGTAGCCCTCCAGTAGCTCCCAGTAGCCCTCCAGTAGCTCCCAGTAGCCCCCAAAGTAATCCCCCAGAAACCTCCCAATAGCCACCAGCAGCTCACCAGTAACCTCCCAGTAGCCACCAGCAGTTCACCAGTAACCTCCCAGTAACCCACCAATAGCTGTCCAGCAACCTCCCTGTAGACCCCCAGTAATTCCCCAGTAGAATTCCCCACTTCCCAGCAACTTGGTAACTCCAGCAGCTCCATCAACAGCAGCAACACCAACACCAGTAACACCAGTAACACCAGTCATCCCCAAGAGCACCAGCCACACCAGTGCTCCAGCAGCTCCAGTCAGCCCCCCAAGCCCCCCAGCCACACCAGTGCTCCAGCAGCTCCAGTCAGCCCAGAAACACCAGCAATTCCAGTTGCTTCCAGCATATTCAACTCCAGCAACACCAGTTCATCCCAATCACACCAGTCACCCCAAGCCCCCCAGCTCTCCCAGTCCCCCCAGTGCTCCCAGTCCCTCCACCTCACCCAGTCCCCTGAGTTCCCCCAGTTCTCTGAGTCCTCCCAGTCCCCCCCCC